CAACAAACTCCGATAGCTTTCCAGTCCAGATCACCCCCGACGACTCAAATCATCAGCGGACCGACGGCGAAGCTCTCCTTTTCCGGTGGCCTCAAGCTCCCGAAACTCACCATCAAGCTCCGCTCTAATCGCACCTCCCGCCGCGGCGGCGGTGCTTCCGGAGCAAAAATGGTGGCTTCCGCTGCCGGAAGTTACGCGAACGCACTCGCCGACGTAGCCAAGTCGAACGGAACCCTAGAACAAACCACCGCCGACCTCGAAAAAATCGAAAAAATCTTCGACGACGAAGCAGTGTACAACTTCTTCGTGAGCCCTATCGTCGGCGAAGAGAAGAAACGCGAACTCGTGGACGAGATCGTTTCATCCTCGAGCATCCAGCCGCACGTGGCGAATTTCCTCAACATTTTAGTAGACATGAAGCGCGTGGAGCTAATCAAAGAAATTGTAAAGGAGTTCGAGAAAGTATACAATACGCTTACGGACACGGAACTTGCTGTGGTCACTTCTGTTGTGAAATTGGAATCGCAGCATTTGGCTCAGATCGCGAAAGGAGTACAGCGATTGACAGGTTCGAAAAATGTGAGGATTAAAACGGCTATTGATGAATCGCTAGTAGCTGGATTTACAATAAGGTACGGAAATTCAGGATCAAAGTTGATTGATATGAGTGTGAAGAAACAACTTGAGGATATTGCTGCTCAACTTGAAATTGGGGATATTCAATTAGCTGTATAATTGTTCTGTTTTTAAAATTATATTTTTTTTTCAGTGATTTATTTTTGTAATATAATTTGCTTCAAAGGCAAATGGAAGATACTGTATTGTTCTAAATTTTTGGATGAATATATATATTAGTAGTTGCTATATGGAACTTCAAATTGGATGATAGGAGCTAGCGGTGTTAAGTGTTAAAGATAAATGGAAAAATCAAACCAAACCCAAAAAATTATCTGTTCTTTGATTTAGTATAGTTTTGGTGATATTAAGGAAAAAAACTAACAGTATTTGGTTTGATTTGCTTGAACATATGAAAATTTGACGGAAACCAAACTAAATCAACAATGTGATATAAATTTTTAGTTTATATATTGATTTTCCTATGTATGTGAGCTTAGATTTTGACATGTGGTTTGGAACTTAAGTGAAATAATATCTGGAAATATTCATTATGCTTCTCTAATACTTCGCGTCTCATATTTGTATTTTTGGTTTACCTAAAACGATAATGGTATTTTCTTATGCTTATAAATAATGTAGTCACACAAATGTTTATTGCTTGTTTTAGATCACAAATTAAAAGTCTTTATTTGATTTTAAAATTTCATGTCCAATAGAAGTGCTGAATACAACTACAACCACACGATCAAAATTTCAAAGGGAAATATGGCTGATAATAAAGCCGTTGAATAGAATATAGGGTTTATCATTTGGGAACTAGTCTACTAAAACTCAACGTCTAGTTCAATTTCATTTGAGAATACCAAGTTAACTCTTTGTCTCTTCAATTACTTTTGGCTTTTTTAGTTCCAATTCTGGGATTAGATTCACTAACTTAAAATATTATGAACCGTTTTTTCAACACTAAGAAGTTTAGTGTTTATTTGAAGTTTTTCAAAAGATTAGCTTGCAAACTTAATTGAGTTCTTTTTATTAAAAAAAAAAAAAAAAGAACTTGTTCGGGCTNTAGATTCACTAACTTAAAATATTATGAACCGTTTTTTCAACACTAAGAAGTTTAGTGTTTATTTGAAGTTTTTCAAAAGATTAGCTTGCAAACTTAATTGAGTTCTTTTTATTAAAAAAAAAAAAAAAGAACTTGTTCGGGCTCTTTTTGCAAAGGGAAGTTAACTCTTGTAAAAGGATTTTCAGACCCAATCTTTCAAAATTTTGCAAAAACTCAAAATAGAACATATGGCATTGTTTTGTTGTGACAATTAAAAAAATTCCATTATATGGAGAATGTTTAGGATATAGTACACTGATATTTTTTGTTACTTGAAAAATAAACTTTAGAGCTGAAGCATGTCCTAACTTCAGAATAAGACAAGTTAAAGGACTGCTAATGGTCGCAATGTTTTGTCATGTACAACCTAACATACTGTAACCAGAAAGATAACTCTTCCTCCATCCTAACTATTGGACGTTCTGTATCATTTGTAAGTTGCACAGAGCTTCCAAGTTGGAAAGCTCCAACTCCACATTTTCACTTTGTGGATCAAGATCATAGACAGGTTGGGGGGTTATGCCTTAACCCCTACAATTTCACTTTGTGGATCAACATCATACATGGCTTTGAATTAATTCAAAAATAAAAATAAAAATATGTACCATGTGAGTTACAATTTAAAGATGTCAGGTTTAACTATTACAACATGGGTTGCGGTGGGATAGATAGAATCCCTCCACCCTTAACCAAAAGTTACGGGTTCGAAACCTGAGTACACAAAAAATCTTGTTATGGAGTGCTTCCCCATTAATGTGTCTTATGTGGCGCGAATTCAAATATAGTCGGACTTGTATACGGATACTGAACACCAGGTAAAAATATTAACACTCAGCGAGATTCCCTCTACTCCAGTCTTGTGGATGTATTTATTCGACACTTGCTTGTGGACTGTAGTAAGTTGCTTATAGACTAATCGAGATGCGTCTAATAGTCTGTTTGACCTAGTTTCTAAAATCAGTTTATTTTAAAAAGTATTTTTTTTAAAAGTGCTAATCAAAAATTACTTTTAGGGAGAAACAATTTGTGTTTGACTAATTAATTTGAAAAATGCTTTTCAACATATTTGGTCAAGCTTCTAAAATTAGTTTATTTTGAAAAGTACTTTTCTTAGAAGTGCTTTTCAAAAAAATACTTTTGGTGAGAGTAGTCCGTGTTTGGTTAATTAATTTAAAAAATACCTTTGAGCAACAATTAGTGTCTGACCAAGCTTTTAAAAAGTGCTTCTAAGTGTATTTTCTAAACAAAGTTTTTCAAAAAAGTATTTTTTGGGAAGAAGCTAATTTTTTCTACTTTTCAAAAAATACTTCTCCTTTTATTCAAAAACACTTTGTTCCTTTTAAAAGTTTGGTCAAACACCTTAACTTTGGTAAAAAAAAAAAAAAATTGGCCAAAAAGCTCTTTTGGTCCCAAAGAAGCATGGCCGAAACAAGCTATTAGTGTTTGACCAAACTTTTAAAAAATGTTTCTAAATATATTTTTCTCAAAAGTATTTTTCAAAAAAATTCAAAAAACTATTTTTTTCTACTTTTGAGAAATTACTTTTGCTTCTACTCAAAAGTTATTTTTTTTTTTCATTCTAAGAGTTTGCCAAACACCTTAATTTTGAAAAAAAGTTCTTTTTGCCAAAAAATTTTTTTTATCACTTTTGACTTAAAAGAAGCCTGCTTGGCCATACATACTAAAAGTTGGTTCCAACGTCACTATTACAGGAGAATCTAAATTATGAAATGGTTGAAATTATTTACGAAAATTGAACTCAGAATATCCTCATACCCCCATCAAAGAAATTTGAGGTTCTAGTTTTTCCTTCCTCCTCTCTATTATTATTTTTTATTATTTTATAAATACTAGTATGAGATCGAAAATCTCTCACCTACTACTTGATAGCATTTAAGAACCTTGAAACGACATTGACTTATGATTAATTAAGGAAGACTAGTTAAGAAAAATTAAGCACTGTACACTGGCGATATTTTGGCGAGTTCATGACTCAATCATTAATTTATTATATTGATACATCATCGAATACATTGATAACAAAAGATGTAAGCAATGGTTGGATCTTGAAAGTAGGTTGATATCATACATGCCAACAATTGATTGTCAATGCAAAATTTCCAACAAAGTCTTCTCATTACTGACTATTTACTAGTAGAATCTTTTGCTTCAAGAATTATAAATGCTGGTTCCCAAGAGGCGTAGTTTAGGAGTCAAAGTTAAGAGTTTAGGTAGATCATGACTGGCATATAGGGTGATTAGGGGTGTTCATATAAATCCAAAAATCCGAACCAAACCGAAAATCAAACTAAACCGATCAAGAAAATTGATACCTTTTTGTTTGGTTTGGTTTTGGTTTTGAAATTTAAAAATCGATCAAATTTGGTTTGGTTTGATTTTAATTAAAAAAAATGAACCAAACCGAATATAGGAGTAGATATTTTAAATTTATTATTACACCTATATATATGTATACTTTTATACAAAGTTTTAAAAATTTTATACTAAATATTAATCGTTTGCACTTTTAGTACAGTTCTTTACCTTTACATTCTAGTTTAATTGGTAGTTTTCTTTTGTTAAGTGTAAGAATCTATTTCATGTTAAAAATAATATATTTTTAATTGAGTCCTTAAATTATTCAGCACTATTTGATTCAATTATCATCAATATATCTTGGTAAATAATAGATTTCTCAAAGGGCAATTGATTTGATAGTGTTATGTTGAAAATGTGGTCGCCGAAATGTGTGTTTGGTAGTGTATGTCTTATATTTAAGAAAAATCGAGAAATAACCGAAAAAATCGAAAAACCGACATAAATCGAATCGAGAAAAAACTGACTTAATTGGTTTGGTTTGGTTCTAATATTTGAAAAGCCGACTTACTTGGTTTGGTTTCTTTTTAGGGAAAAATCGATCCAAACCGAACCATGAACACCCCTACGGGTGATGCTAAACAGCCCAATTGTTGTGAGCCAACCACACGCGTGAAAAGACATCAAAGACCCCCTAACTAATTAGCATATATTTTTCCCTCCAAAACACAAAATTAAATCCCAAGCCTTGAAATATGTGAAAATTAAATGTTGGTAGCTAAAGAGCCTTTTGCATTATATTTGTATTTCCATTGTATTTATGTGTATACAAATTATACGATTTAGTGTATATACAAATTATTGTATTTTCTTCCTTTCTTAAAAACAAATACGGTATACAATTTAGTATACTTCCTCCTTATCAAACCAAGTCAAGCGGACATTTTCTCCTTATTTAAAAATGGATTCAAACCAAGAAAATTTGGTGGTGCAACAAAATATGAACCCAAATGAACATAACACAAATACGAGAATCATGAATATCAACCAAGATAATAAGTTTGATCGAGTTAGGGACGAGTTGTACAAATATTTAGGGATGGCATCGGATGATAGTTTGTTGAATGAATACGAATAAGTCGATGTTGATTCTCAAGAGAGTTTTAACAATGTTGTGAACTTAGATGATGATGATGATGAAGAACCGGATGGAGAATATCACGGAGAAGCTAACGATGATGAGGAGCAGGTTTTAGGAAATGAGTTAGAGTTATGTGATGTTGATCGGGAAATGGAGAATGAATTTACTGAAGAGGATGTGGTTGTAGGTCCAATCTCTGGAATGCGATTTAGAGATAAAGATTCTTTGTTTGTATTCTACAAAGAACATGCACGACTGAAAGGATTCTCCGTCGTCAAAAGAAATTCCAACAAGAAGGGTGGTGACACTGCCAGGTACATAACTTACTGTTGTGATAGGGCTAGGATTCGCAAACAAGTTTACCACCAAGAGTAACACTTGTAAAGCTAGGCTCGCTACTGTTTTGGATGATTCTGGTTGTTGGCGCATCTCTAAGGTAGTTCACGATCACAATCATGATTTGATCCCATCCATATCGCGCCTGATGGCTGGACATAGGTCCGTTTGTGATTCTTTGAAGAGGGATCTTGTAGCTTACAATCAATCTAGCATTAAACCCTCCAAAAATATTAGACTTGCTGAGGTTCAACGTGGTGGACTGCAAAATTTGGGTTGCACTCCAAAGGATTGTAGAAATTTTATTTTGAAGAGTAGGAATTTTGAAATGCAAGAAGGGGATGCACAGTCGTTGCTCAACTTTTTTTGTGGAATGCAGGTAAAGGATAGGGAATTTTTCTATTCAATAGACATTGATAATATTGGTAGGCTGCGAAATGTGGTATGGGTGCATTCACACTATAAGACAGCGTATGAGCAATTCCATGATACGATATGCTTTGATACGACATACCTTGTGAATCGATATAATATGAAATGTGCTACATTTGTTGGCATCAATCACCATAGACAGTCCATCTTACTGGGATATGCTCTCATGTCTCATGAAGATATCAATAACTATAAATTGGTTTTTAGAACTTGGCTTGAGGCCATGGGAAATGTTCATCCAGATGCGATCATAACTGATTAGTGTGAGAGCATTAAGGTAGCCATTGCTGAAGTGATGCCAAATACAATACATAGGTATTGTATTTGGCATAAATTTTCAAAGTTGTCTTTTTACTTAAGTGGTGTTCGTCCTTCTAAAATTGCACGTGAAAAATTTAAATCCATGGTCCTTGATAGCATTACTGTTGAAGTTTTTGAGAGAAATTGGACAGAATATATTGCAAGATATAATTTGCATACAAGGAATTGGTTCAACAAGCTTTACTCTGAGAAGGAAAAATGGGTTCCAGTGCACCTTGATGTGTATTTTTGGACTGGTATGCTATTTACGCAAAGAAGTGAGGGGATGCATGCGTTCTTTGATGGATATATTATCCGTCAAAGCACTCTTAGGATGTTTTTTCACCGGTATGAGTTATCTATAAGAGCTAAACATGAGACAGAGTTGGAAGCGGAATACAGGTCAAAGGGCTTTCAAATTGTGGTTGAGTCAATGTTCAAGTGGGAAGAGCAGGCAATTCAGTGTTATACACATACAATGTATGAATTTTTCAATACACAGCTAAGGAAATTGTATCATTGTGAAGTCAACAGCCCTGACGATCATCAAGTTGTCCCTAGTGTTGAGAAATTCATCGTTAATGATTATTCAGTTTTAGAAAAAATGATGGAAATCCAGTTGAGTACACTGTTGAATATATACCTATCAATAATTATTTTAGTATCAGTTGCAAATGGTTCGGGTCTAGAGGGATACTTTGTTGCCATATACTCAAGATATTGTCACACAATAAGATTGATAAAATTGATGAAAGGTATATACTGACAAGGTGGAGAAGCAATGTTATTAGGCCACACTTGAATCGGTTCCATCAAGTTGGTTACCCGAACATGACTCTTGAGTACAAGACATACAGGAGCATGTTTAAGTATTTTGACATGGCTTGCGATATAGCACTGGGCACTAACGTGTAGGTTTAATATTTTAAGCATAATTTGAAGAAGATAGTGCATGATCTTCAAAACTGAGATGACGAAATGATCGTGCCAAACCCCGACCAAGATGACTCAGATGAAACTGAAGGCACAACTCTACGAGATCCCCAGTACACTAATTCACATGGCTGGCCACATTTGAATCGATATAGAGGAAGAATTGAATACTACTTTACAAGTTCACAGCCGCATGGTGTATTTGGATCTAGTAATGGCGCAAGAACTGGTGTTATAAGGGGTGGCAGGGGTGGTGGCAAGATTGGTGGAAGTGGTAGTGGCAATCGTGGTGGTAGAGGTGCCGGTAGAAGTGGTGGACGCAGGGGTAGGGGTAATGGGCAAGGCAAAGGTGCAAACATTGAGCATGATGGTTCCCTAGGTGTGAATGAGGTATAATTTTGCAACTACATTTGATTATTACTTAAACATATCATCTTTTCTTATAGTGTTTGTTTGATTTTAATTGCAGCAAATTGACGCCACACAATCGCAATCAAGCTTGTTTGATCTCAATGGCGAATCAGACTTGGAACTATAATAAAGAATATTGTTGAAACTTGGAGTTCCCAATAGGCCTAATTGCATTGTTGTTTTATTTGGTCCAGAACTTTTTGATTTTGAAGAAATTTTTCTTGTTTTGTATAAACGTTGGTGTTTAATGATTTATGAAACTTAAACATATCATTTTTTTTCTTATAGTGTTTGTTTGATTTTAATGGCATATTAGCTACTACATTATTGCTCCTCATGATTTTGGATTAGTTACGTTGTATTCTAACAAAGAGAGGTATTTGTAATATTGAATCCAACCACTAATATTGAATAGGAAAAATCCTTTGATGTCTGGGAATGGAATTGTAATGGTGGCTATGAATAATTAGTGGCCGATATTTATGACCTTAATGAATGAAATTATATATTGGCTACTATATATATAGACGCTCAATATAACTATAAAGAGCAAAAATATAATTAACTAGTGGAACCATAGTAAATGGAATAGTAATGATCGCTATGAATAATTAGTGGCCGATACGTATGACCTTAATGAATGAAATTATATATGACCTTAATGAATGAAATTATATATTGTCTACTATATATATAGACGTTCAATATAACTATAAGAGCAAATATATAATTAACATTGCAACCATAGTAATTGGAATAGTAATGGTCACTATGAATAATTAGTGATCGATACATATGACCTTAATGAATGAAATTATATATTGGCTAGTATATATATAGACGTTCAATATAACTATAAAGAGCAAAAATATAATTAACTAGTGGAACCATAGTAAATGGAATAGTAATGGTTGCTATCAATATCTACTTATTATTGATATTTCATAATTAAATTGCTAATTATATTCCAAATATAACTATTGGTGTCAAAATTAACTATCGAGTTTCAGCATCCAATAAGGACTTTCTAACATAATAAATTGGAGATTGTTTACCTTTGTCTTCCCGAACTAATACTGTACTTACCGCCACTTTTGAAACAGCAAGATAGATGAGTAGCCTTTCTCCGTCCTTTGGTTTAGCCAACAACGTGGGTTTGACAAGTATGTTTTTAGATTTTTGAGTGCTTGTTGGCATTCCTCAGTCCACTCAAATTGGCTTTGCTTTTTCAATACTGAAAAAACTTAAAACTTTTCTCTGAAGATTTAGAAATAAACCTCCCCAATGCTGATATCCTGCCTGTCAACCTCTACACCTCTTTTTTGCTTGTGAGGATATCTGGTATTTCTTATATAACTTTAATCTGTGTTGGATTTACTTCAATTCCTTGGTTAGAAATAAGAAAACCTAAAAACTTACTTGAAGACACGCCAAATGCACACTTCTCAGGGTTTAACTTCATATTGAATTTGCGGAGAATCTGAAATGTATCTGACAGATGTTGGATATGAACCCCCGCCTATTGTGACTTGACTAGCATATCATCGATATAAACCTCCATGGTTTTTCCCATATGTTATTGAAACATCTTCGTTACTAACCTCTGGTACGTGGCTCCAGCGTTCTTTAGGCCGAAAGGCATGACTTTATAACAGTAAGTCCCCCTGTCTGTAATAAAGGAAGTTTTTTCCTCATCTGAAGGATCTATTTTTATTTGATTATATTCTGAATAGGCATCTAAAAAATTCAACAATTCGGGTCCTGCAATTGCATCAAATTAGTTGATCTATGTGTCGTAAAGGAAAAAAAATATTTAGGGCAAACTTTATTCAAGTCAGTATAGTCTACACAAACTCGCCACTTACTATTTTTTTGGGCACCACTACAGTATTAACTAGCCAATTAGGATATTTTACCTCACGGATAGACCCGATATTTAAAATTTTATGTACCTCATCCTGAATCACCTGATTTTTGAAAGATCCTTGCTTCCTTTTCTTCTGTTGACAGGTGGATATGTTGGATATTCATTCAGCTTATGGGTCATCACCTTGTCACACCTCCTTTTTAAAACCCGATGGGAAAATATAAGGGAGTTTTTCCAATTAAAGTGACATAAATCGAAATGGGATTATTTATTCAAAATCAGAGTCGCCACTTGGGATAATTCAATTGGTGTCCCAAGTCACCGGTTTATTTTAGAATCCCAAATCGAGGAAGTTTTCGATTTTATTTAAAAGTCTGCGAACTAAAAATTCTAAGTAAGGAGTTCTGTTAACCCGGGAGAAGGTGTTAGGCATTCCCGGGTTCCGTGATTCTAGCACGGCCGCTTAGTGATTTATACTTGGCTTAATTTGTTTAACTACTCATTTTAAGGACCTATGTGCATTTATCCTTTTACCACTTTTAATTACTTGAATTATTAAAGAATCGAGTTACGCGTACGTATACTCATTTCTTTTGGCGCGCCAAAAATCATATCACGCGAACGTGTCCACAATTAATAAATGCTTTGTTCATTTTATTAAGAAGAAATTGGTTGAACTTGCGCGAACGCATCCCTCGAGTTACTTTTTAGAATTAAATTTGTAATTATGTTACGCGAACGTATACATAATCACAATACTAATCTAAATCGAGCCTAGAGCAAACTACGATTATTTAGGATTATTTTAATGCTAAGTTAAGATTAAAGTGAGGGCTATAGGTTAAGGATTTTGTTTGAGTATGACACACCTCGAATTATTAACAAAGGGAGTTGCATTTTATTCAAATAGGGCTAAGGATCCTAATTGAAGTTAAAACTAAGAATTTTCTTAATTTGAGGCTAGGCTTTTGAATTACTCTTGAAACAATTATTTTGGGCCGGCAGTGGCTCCCTACTTAGACAATTTCAGCTTTAAAAGCTGTATTTGGGCTCACGAATTGGCCCAGTGGAAAAGAACCCCAAGTTTTTTCACCCATGTCAGAACTTGAAACAAATTCACCCACATTGGGCTTATTTTAGGCGGGCTCAGTTATGGTTAGTTAACGTCTGGGCTTGCCTACCTTATGTTCTAAAAAAAACTCATTTAATTGCTAAAAAGGAACGCAAGGAAACAATTCGGAGTGAAATACATCATTGAATTCAATTAAAGCCATGAATCAAACCCAAACTGAAATTAAATCATTGGCAGAAGGGCCCAAAATCGAAACTCGACTGGGCCATCTCATCAGGGCTGATACCAGGCCCAATTGAGACTCAGATTCCTTCAATCACATACAGTCCAGAAATCGAAAATGTCCACACATAAGGGGGATAACTGATTCCAAACTATTGACATGCTATTAGTATTGACCAAGAAAGACATGAACCCTACTATTCCATGGGTCACATTAACTTAAATAAGCAATCACCTTACTATTGCTGTAACTCGAAAAACAAACAACATGATGAATATCCTGACTCTAGGATAAACATAGCATGATTCAATAGTAGTGCCCACTGCATATTACTAACAACAAAATGCTCAATTTTTGAGCTCATTCACACCTTATCCTAAGCTTAACATACCATCAGCCTAATCATTGTTTGACCCAAAGTGGCTCATGAACACATACACTCAAAAGAAAACAACTAATTAAGTACATTTATTGTGAACCAACACAAAATTTTGCAAAAAATATAGGCTGGAATTTACGGACACAGCCTGTCAGTCCACTTTATACATGTAAGTGTTTAATGAAATACTCAACATAATACATCTTTTGATTTAAACTTCTAGGTTATAAATACTATCCTAACAATGATAATATGGTTAATAATAAGGGGAAAAACTGCAGAAGAAGTTACAAGAGGAACATTTTAGGCAACAAATCAAAGTGAAGAACATGCGTTTTCCATTTAATCAAGCAATGAGCTACAATTTCATTTTCTGCACTTTCAAAGTCCAGTACATACCTGAAACAACAAACAAAAATAGAAATAAAGCTTCAGCAGAAATGAGGATGAAGCAGTAGCAATCAACAACAGGTTTTCAGCTTCCTTGAACTCTTTAAAACCCAGAAGAAACAAAAATCCTATGAAAGCTTTTCAGTTCTTGCTACCATGGAAAACAAGGAACAATTTCGACCAATTTCTAATCAAAACAATGCAAGAAACTTTTAGTCTTTTAAAGGTTGGGATCTCTGATGTTTTTTCAGAAACTTTTTAGGCAGAAAATCAGGCTGAGTCCCTGTGAGAGTGAGGGAAAGCTTCCTTTATATAGAGTGCCCAAAGAATAGCATCTAGGAAATATTCTACCCTAAATTCCCTAGCTAGTACAACATTTCTGCACAACTGTCCGTCCTTTTCTTATCCAATTCCAGCATTTTATGCTAAGGATAGGGACAACTGTGATATTCTTAGAACATTATGATATTTTTCAATATAAAAGTCCAGTTTTAACCTTTTAAAATCTGCCTATTTCATTTTTACCTAAACATTTTTGGTTTAGTTAGATCCCTAAGGTTCCTATTTGTTGGCAAATCAGAACCAACATCACAAGACCAAAGTTAACACACACATGAAAAAATCAAAGGAATAGATTATTGACCAAACAACCCTTAAACCCCAAATCATTTGATATGAACAGAATCAGAAAATGAAACAAACACAAAAGAAACAATTTAACCCTAATATATCATAAATGAAACAAACATAGAGGAAAACTTTAAACCTAATATTAGCATGAGTTTCAAAGGGAAATTATTAAAACCTACGTACAAGTAATGAAACTAACAATTAAAGACAGAAAAAGAGAAATTAAACTATGCAGCCAAATCAGAAGTAGAACCAATTGAAAAGAAACAACCCTTAATTTAAACTAAACTGACTTAATTATCCTAAATGCCTCGAACTACATTTAATTAAAACGATTAACTAAATAAACTTATTTTACTGAAATTCAAACAAAACAACAATCGAAACAAGCAAGACTGATACCCTAAAAAAAGAAGAATTACCAACTAATAAAAGAAGAGAAGAAACAGAAACAACCTGATTTTGGCCGAAAATGCTTGAACCAACTGAGCAAAACAACGAGCAAAGGTTTTGGACGAAGCTTGGTCGGTCAGTGTTGACTTGGCCGGAATCTGGTGGTCTCGAAATAAGCCAAAACTAACGCTAATCGATTGTTCTTGTCAAGAACAATCGATTAGCATGAACTTTAACTCAAATTGAGCCTGAAACCCCCAAAAATCAAAGAGAAGAGGACAGATTAGGGTTGGTCTTTTTTTTTCTCCAGAATTTAGATCCAAAATTGGAGCAAATGGATAAGGATTTTGGAGAAATTAGTGATGGATATAGGACGATGGGGTTATGATGGTTGCCTGGTTAGAAGATGAGGGTGTTTAGAACGGTGCCGCTGGCCGGTAGGGTTTGGGTATTTGGGGCGGCTAGGGTTTGGGTTCTTTGTGAGAGGTGAGAGACTGATGGGGTTTGGAATGAAGGGGGTGGAGAAGTTTCAGACATTAATATAGTAGGGGATTAATCAGTTCCCAGCCGTTAGATCCATGATGATCAACGACTGGGATTTACAAGGGTTAAACGGGGTCGTTTGGGGATGGGGAAACCTGGACCGGGTATGGGTTGGTTTGGGCCTGCGTCTGGGCGGATTTTGGGTAGCTTGTGGGCTAGGACATGGGTATAAAATCAACCCAATTGAAACAAATCCAATTTCTAAATCAGCCCCCTTTTTTATTTCCTTTTCTTTTCTTTTATTTCTTTTTTTTAATTAATTAAAATCCTAAATCAATCTATTTTTGTAGAAAAATAAAACTCTTTATCTATTTTTAACATTAAAACAACTAATTAACTCAAAAATGCTAATTTTAAATACTAAAATCTAAATATGTAAAAATAATCATTTTTGTGATTTTTTGCTTAATAAAAATTAATTCCTACATGCGAATTGAACCTAAGATGGTATGAAATTAAAATGTGATAATTTTTTATGATTTTTATTATGATCTTAAAATATTAAAAATGCATGAAATGCAACTAAATAAAGAGAAACTCCTAAAAAATTAATTGAAATTATTTTTGGTATATTTTTAGGAGTTATTTTCATGTAGGGCAAAAATTAGGTGCTCACACACCTCAGGTGGTATACCTGTCATATCTGAATGTGACCAAGCAAAACAATATGCGTTAGCTTTTAAAAATTCAATTAACTTACCTTTCATCTCTGGGCTCAGGTTAGTTCCGATGTAAACCTTTTTGTCCGGCTAATGTAAACAGCACCACCTCTTCGAGTTCCTCAACTGTTGTTTTGATATTTTCATTCGCTTCTGGTTCTTGAATAGTAGCAGGCCTTGAGTCTACATCTGTTTGTCCATCTCCAGTTGAGGTTTGTGTTGTTAAATCCTCAACTGAACTCTGTAATTGCTATTTTTTGTCTGCAACGTCGTTTTTCATACTTGAATCTGCCACTGAATTGATACTTCTAGAAGCTTGTTGATCACCACAGATTTGTCTAATTCTCCATTGTGAAGGGAACTTAATAACTTGATGTAAGGTAGACGGAACAACATTCATCTCGTGAATCCATGGTCTCCGAGGATCATATTATACGCCATGTCCATATCTATTACTTGAAATTTCGTATCTTTGACTACCCCTTCTGCGAATGTGGTGAGCGCTATCTCCCCTTTTGTAACAACGTTTGAATTGTCAAATACAGATAAGGTACGTGCTTTGGATACCAACTTGTCACCAGCTTGCATCTCATTTACCACTCTTAAAAAGAGTTATATTTACAGAGCTACCAGGATCAATCAAAACGCGTTCCACATTAGTATCATATACAAGTAAAGATATTACCAGTGCATTATTGTGTGGAATCATCACGCCATCTACATTTGCATCATCAAATGTTATGCAGTCTTCTTCCAAAACTTGGCGTACTCGCTTTCCGTAGTAACTGTGATTTTGACACCTTTTGTGTAGCTGTATATGTCACACCGTTGACCTCCTCTACTCCGCTTATCACGTTAACCATTCTTTTTGGTGACGGAGGTTTTGGTGGCTCTTGTCTATTCTTCATATATGCTTGCTTACCCTTCTCACTAAATAAGTCGGTTAAATAGCCTTGTTTTAGTATGTGCTCTACTTCATCTTGTAGCAATCTGCATTCTGCTGTTTTATGACCGTGATCATTATGAAACTCGCACCAGAAATTTGGGTTTCTTCTATTGGGGTTCGATCTCATTTCTTTTAGCCACTGCACCTTATCTCCCATGCTTATTAAAACAGCTACCAACTCAGATATTCTAACATTGAAACTGTAACCACCAATCTTTGCTTTTGTGATTCTGTCGATGTCCCGCATATCTCGCTCCTTTCCAAACTTGGATGACGAACCTGCATCTCTGTTCCTTGATTTGGAATCGTATCTTATGTTCTCCTATTTAGAACGTGAATCCCTTCCTGCTGGTCTCATATAAGGTTCGTACCTGTTCTTTTCGGACCTTTTTTCAGTTCTTGGTCGCCTCGAACTTACTCTTCATCTCCCCGTGACTGAGTGATATCATCTTATTCTATTCGCAGCTTCGTGTTATACCTGTTGTAAACATCATTCCAAGTTGTTGTAGGGAATTCTCGAAGACTTTCTTTGACTCTCCTCGTGGCTTCTGAGCTTTTTTCATTTAAGTTGCTCGCAAACGCCATGGCCGCCCAATTATCCGGTACACGCGGTAGCATCATCCTTTCACGCTGAAATTTATCCACAAATTCTCTGAGTAGCTCCGTATCTCCTTGTTTTGTTTTGAAAATGTCCTCCATCCTCTTTTTAACCTTTTAAGCTCCCGGGTTTTCTTTTATAAACGAATCTGCAAGCTCAGCAAAAAAATCAATAAAATTTTCTAGTAAAAGAGAGTACCATGTTAATGCCCCTTTTGTGAGTGTTTCGCCAAACTTTTTGACCAGCACCGACTCAATTTATTGTTTGGTCAAGTCGTTGCCCTTCACGACAGTTGTAAATACAGTTACATGATCTCGTGGGTCAGTTGTCCCATCATACTTTGGTATATCGGGCATCTTAAACTTTTTTGGAATTGGCAAGGGAGTGGCACTTGGCTTCCAGGGCTGTTGAGAATATTTGTCAATATCTACTCCTTTAATCATGGGTGGCACACCAGGTATCTGCTCTATGCGATCGTTCTGCTCCTTGAGCTGTTTCTGCAAAGATAGTACTAAACTTTGTAAATCAGAATTATTTAAGATATCCGACCTTCCATCTCGAGAGTCGCTGAGAGTTCCTCCACTGCCTGAATTAGCAAGTCCCGAGAGGATTCTCTATGGTTGCAGTGTTATTTGGAAGTGGAGTCGGTGGTACAGTTAGCAACCCACTAACAAAAGCTTGGAGAGCATTGTTGGCGTGTACTACAATTAGTTGCTTCAATGCATCTTCAACAATTTGATCGTCCCCTTGTTGATTATTCACATGTGATGTTGATATGTCAGGTGAGTTTTCTTGAAAGTGTCGAGGAGAATTTTGGGGTGAAGGGATTGGAGTGTCATTATCTTGTTGATTCTGTTGGTTTAGCTGGTTTTATTGGTTTTGTTGGTCGTTGTTGTTAACGGTCGACATGATTTTTTGATAGAAAGAATGAATTTGGAAAGTGAAAAGATTATCAGATTCTCGGTAACGAAACCAATTTGTTTAACCAAAAATGACTATTTTGGTCAAAGCCTATTTTTAAAGGTACTCGGGCTACTGATAATCAAGAAATTCAATATACTCATCGTGATAAGAAAGGAAATTAGAATATGAAACAACAAAACAATCAATAGAAAGCAAAAGAAAGTAATTGTATTCCAATAATAATCAGAACATGTCTGTACAAATGATATCTCTTTCCCTTATATAGGAATTTATAAGTACAACGTCTTTCCCCTTTTATGACCAAATCATTATGAGCATTAATGATATTAATGAGACGTTATAATTGGTAATCGTAATTGTTCATGAAGATTCTGTAACGTTTGAGATCATTCAAGCTCATTAATTGATGATTCATGAATCTTTCCTTTTTACTGTCTTGATTCATTCCGCCGGTACCTTTTCATGTAACTATTTAAACTTGAGCGACCATATCTTTTCCTCTCATGGGTGATTTACTCGTATCTATTATGACTCGTGCCTCTTTTAATGCATCTCTCCAGCTGTCGCTTTCTTAATGATCCACATGTCTTGTCATATCAGCCACTCATATAAATCCACGTGTACTATTTATTTTTAACAATACAAGTATATTCCTGGCCTTTTATTAGAAAATACAACATATACTTTTGAAGCACTATTCTTCTTCGAATGCACCATTATTGATTCCTTAAACTATTAACTCACACTTAGAAGAAAATAGGAGTTTAAATGAAGGTTTGTTTAAGTATGTTTTCGGCCATCTAGGTTTATTTAAATAGTAGGGTTTTGAAGACCTTGTTATACTAAAAATATACAAAATACACAATCAAATACATGTATATAGATGAATAATTTCAAAATATATACGTGTATACTACAAAAAAAAAAAAGAATGAAAATACGTAAAATAAAAAAAAAAAGGTTTATGGGAAATAGGGTTTGCAACCTTTGAGATCTTCCATGTATTGGAAAACAACTATTAAATGGGTTGGAGAGAAATATTCAAACCTAACTAAAAGGGCATTATTAGTATAAAGATTCGCCTGAAACTCTAATTTTAGCGTAAATTTACCTTAATGACCCCATTTGGGTCAATTTGGCCAAAAATTGTGGGGCCCAAAGGATTTTTCCATTTACAAAAGCTAGAAATAAACAAGAAAGAAAAAGCACCGAAATAAGACTCCATAAATCGGTCCATAGTTTTCAAAATTATACATTAGACCTAATTATTTGAGGTGTCTGTGCCTTTTTATAGCCCCCTCTACTCCAGAGCTAACGACACTTTATAAGTTTATGTAGAATTCAATGGATAGACTGGATTTTAAAGATGTTGTCCAGCCTTTTGGTGTATATTACCTTTTCATTTTATCCTACGAGACGCTTAAATAGAGCTGTCAATACGGGCTGGCTCAGCCGTAGCACAACCCACACGAGCCAAGCCTATATTGACGGTTCTAGACTTAAATCAATATGAAACGACTTTACTTTAATAATCATATATGCATATTTTTATAATTTCTCAAAATTTGAATGATTTGCATCAGTTTTATCTTGTGAAATGATAAACCTAATGAGTAGTAACTAGTTTCCATTTTTTTTTTTTGAAATAATCGAATAGAATCACTAAATTATTTATATTTAACGTAATTTTAATTTCACAAAGATTTTTTATTTTCAAAAATATTTCAAGTAACTTTAACAACGAGAAATTAAGAGTTAATAATGATGTGACGTATCACATATGCATAACAATACATAAAATGTAGAACTGTGAAATGATAAACCTAATGAGTAGTAACTAGTTTTCATTTTTTGAAATAATCCAATAAAATCACTAAATTATTTATTTTCCTATTATGTTTTCTTGAAATTAGAGGTTTAATAAGATTTTCATAGGGCATATCTTTGTTCTAAATTTATTTATTAGTTATTACACCCGTACTTTTTAAAAAAAATATCAAAATATAACATCAATACAAAATTGAGAACAACAAAATGTAGATAGCCCTCAAAATCTGACCAAGCGGTTGGCGGGAACTGGCGGCTATTAATTATAGTAACAATTATTATCTGCCATATTTTTGTATGCTCTTTAATTTGCACTTTTTGGTAACCTATATATTTCTTTTTTTTTTTTTGAAAATATATTTCATTTCGCCATCCAAGTATCCAACTTCCCATTTCTGAATTTCTTCTCAACTGACACCGAAAGGGTAAAACCCAATTGCCTAATTTCACTCAAATTTGTATATTTATAGTTTTATACTAAGAATCTTTAGTTTTGACTCCTTTACTATCTGGGTCTATCCAAATTCGGGTTTTTTTTATCTGTCTTCTTTCTTCTCCATTGCATCGGGTGAAAACTTTAATAAGTATATTTTGAAAGAAATGTGAATCTTTGGTCAAATCTTAGTTCTAGCTGATTTTTATGTTGGTGTTTGTAGTTTTTGTTTTTCGAGCAATTAAGAATTTAAAGTTCATGTCTTTGATCAATTGAAGTGTATATGAACTTAATTCTCATTTCTTAATAATTTTGAATTATTTGATGTATCAAATTTGAATGTTTTTATCTTTCTGCACAAAGTGAAAACTTTATAATGTCTTACTTATGGTTGATTTTTATCTGGCTGTTTACTATTATTCCTACCAATCCAACATTTGAAGTTCATGTCTTGATCATTTTGAATTGCATACTTCATTCTCATTTCTTGATAATTTTGAATTGCGTTGGTGTATTCTTCCCTCTGTTGAATCTTTTCATACTCTGGGCTCTAATGTGTAATTCTTTTATATTCAGCTTCTAGTGGGTGATTTTAAAATAAGGAGATTTGAAAGGGTGCTTTTTTGTAAAGCTCAATTCTTTAGTCTAAGCCTTTACTGAATCTGCACATTATTTCTACCATCACTTGTTAGTTTTTAAGTATTAGCTAATCGAGGAGCTGAAATTTATCACAAGCGCCTTTTATCATCCCTTCATTTTCCCATTTGAATTGTTGTAGAGTGTTGATGTGGATCTCTAGCTTATACTTATCTTGGAAATTTTCTGCTACTCATCTTCTTTTCACTGATGAATGGGTTGTTCTGAAGTTGTGATCTTGGCGGGTTGTTAAATTGTAGATAAACAATCTCTGCAAGGATTGCCATGGACTCGATGAATGGCATCGATAATGTACCAGAAACAGCGACTCGTAAAATCAAGGCATTCTTTGAGTCAGCTCCACCACTAAAAGATGTTGCTGAAATAGAGACAAAATTGAAGGAATTTGTCTACCGAAATTCTTCATCATCAGGCAAATTTGCTTCCATTCAGCTCTCATATCATGTATTGTTTCAACTTCCTTTTCCACAATCTGGACAATCACAACGCCTGACTTTACTTTTGACTTTGCTTTTGTTGTCATCTTCAGAGAATGGAAAAATAAACAGGGTGGTGTGTGTGACTTCCGGTGGTACAACTGTTCCTTTGGAGAAGCGATGTGTTCGTTATATTGACAACTTTAGCTCTGGTCATAGAGGAGCTGCTTCCACAGAGTATATCATGAAACACCATACTTACGCCTTTTATTACACATTTGGTTCACATACATGTTTTACATTCAAGTTAAACTGGAATTGCAGGTACTTTTTGAAGGCTGGTTATTCTGTCATCTTTCTTTACCGTAGGTTTGTATTCAAGTGCATTGCTATATATTACCATTATCTCAATCAAGATTCTTCCCTTTGAAAAATAGCATATGCTCCTGACTGGATTCTTAAAGCCATGAAACTCTGCATATGCAGGGGAACTTGCCAGCCATTTTGCAGATCACTGCCTGATGATCCATTGCTCGAGTGTTTTACTTCAACTGATCATTCAAGTATTCAAGGTCTGTTAGTTTTTCATTTATGCCTAATACTGACGGACACCATTTGTCCATTTTAACAGATATCCATACTTTCTAGATTCCTAGCAGCATAGAACTGCATGGTGAATTTCATAAAATATTCTATATTAATTATATAGGGTCATTTTAATAATATCTAATTGCTCAATACCTTTTCGTACTTTATGTTATAGAGGTGCAGCAGATCCTAATAAAATAGATGGAGAGAATCATAAGGAGGAAATGTAATTCTTGATGTGATGTAGTTTGGAGAGTTACTTTTATTCATATTAATCTTCCTTTTTCTTTACAGTGATGTTGTGTGTTTTCCTGGCTGGTTAGGGTTACTGGGAGTGGGAGAATATTTATTGCATTTCTTGGAATATTTTGAACTTGTCCGTTGTTATTGACCATCTCATACTTTTAAGTCTCACATACATTTTCTTAATGGTGCTATCTCAGTGGACCCATCACATGCTGAAGTGGTGAAGAGAGCCATTTCTGAAAATCGTTCTGTAAGGATTTTTGTTGATTATTCATTTCACTATTTCACATACCAATGGTAACAATTAACCTTAAGAATATTCAATTGCAGGCAGTTAACGGGGGCTTCCTGTTGAAATTACCGTTTACAACAATTTTTGAGTATTTGCAGGTAAGTAGATTTTTCTTTTGACAAGCAGGCATTGTTAGTAGATTGATGCATCTATTTGCTGTATGAGTGCCAGTAAAAGAATATTAAATGTATTCATATTAAGCAGATTCTTCGGCTGATTGCTGGCTCTTTAAGGAGCCGTGGGCCTAGTGCTATGTTCTATCTTGCAGCTGCAGTTTCTGACTTCTATGTACCATGGGAGAGCATGGTAATCATTTCATTTCTTCTTGCATTGTTTTGGTTGAATTTGCAGTTTGAAATGGTTGGATTCAGTTCAATCTTTGTGAATTTCTGTATTTGTTTTTTGTCTCCTCCCTCTTCTGTTTCAATACCAGAAATGGTAGATATATAACATGTCATCTAATTTCAGTTCTTGTCACATCTTCTGGCATTTGCTTTACAGACGGTGCATAAGATCCAGTCAGGATCTGGTCCCTTGGACATGCGCCTTGCTCAAGTACCGAAGATGCTTTATGTGCTCAGAAATGAGTGGGCACCTGTGGCCTTCTGTATATCTTTCAAGGTTAGCTGATCATCACTTGAGTTTCCTTGACCATAAAGTCTGCTTTACCTGTAAAAATATGCTGACTGTACAAATAACCGTGTCAAATATATCTTGAGAATAATTGTGCATATGATATGCCGCTGCTGCGGGGACTAAATAAGATCAAAATCATATTCCCTTCATCTTATTCATGAAGCTCCATTATACATTTTCAGGTGTTCCAATTTTTCATTTGAAATACATTGACAAATATTCTGTGTCTTTTACAAGTTTCAAGAGTTCAAAACTCACTAAGCAGTTCAAATTTTGACTATAATGTGTTCTTTTTCCTATCAAGTTTACATATCGAGTCTTAACAATTATACCTTTTTGTTAAACAATAAAAGAACGTATAAAGTCGAACTAACTCAACCCGCATGCATAGTCCGAAAGTTTACATAAACTATGAACAAAAGGAGTGCATAGTTTCTCCCATTCCAACCTCCGCATCAGGTCTTAGAGTTGAAATATGCGGTCTTTTTTGGTGTTGGTGCCTTGGTGGTGGTTGGGGAGGGGATGTGATATACTTACATGTATTTGATGGATGTGAAATTAGTACTCTTATCTTGCTTAGCAACTTCTTTTATGTTTAGAATAAAGCATATACCTTTGAGTTGCAAATTAGAACTTTTAACCATTTGATTAAGTCTCAGGTTAATTGATACATGATTGTCAGTAGTTTGTCGACTTGTTCCATAACATGGTACTTGTCAATGAGTCACCTTGTATGACTGTTATTAATTGGATGAGATATGTCTCTTTCACCAATTAGTCTGGACAAGTTTTATAATCAAACCCAGCAGTCAGATGTCAAATCATTGTTTTATAGGAATTTACTTAGTCAAGTATATCCTTGACCTTTACTAGATCAAAGCACTGATTTTCTTCCCCACAGCTATATGTATATATATGTATTTGACCTGTATATCTATATACCTCTAGTTATCACATAGTTTGAATACTCATTTAAACATCTACTTCTTGACAGCTGGAGACAGATACAGATATCCTTTTAGGAAAGGCTGATATGGCACTCAAAAAGTACAAAATGCATATGGTGGTAGCTAATGAACTTTCAACCCGCAAAGAGGAAGTTATAGTTGTCACAGAGCAGGAAAAAATCGCAGTTCGTCGGGACAAAACACAGGCCGGTGCTGATGTTGAGGACCCATTGATTAAACTTGTTGTGGATAGGCATTCAGCATACATCAAGCATTCTGATGCATGATCTCTAAGGACTGACTGGTGATATTTGTTGGATCAGTGGAATCTGATTTCTTTTCAAGAAGAATGCACTACATCTGTGCAACAATTATGTAATCAACTGTTAAAAAGAGAGGTATCTTTCCACCCTACTCGACCAACCACCACAGGTCACAGGCTCTCTTGAAAGAGGAAAAAGAAAGAGGGTACCTTTTAGTTGTTCCAACTGCGGAGTCTTTTTTTCTTGTTAAAGAATATGTTTCATGAAAGAAAAAGTAGCTGTACCCCTTAATTTATTACAGAAGAATATGTACTTTCAGCGCTGGCTATAATTCTTACAGTTCCCATTTAGAAGCCCTTTTCTCTGGGCATGATGTTTTTCTAGATGATAGCTGTTTTTTAAGTGTCTTGGTAGCTTCTAAATCATACAGCTGATCTGGTAACCAGCATTAAGTTACCTTAACTTCGAAAGTTTAGCACGAGAGTCCCGTAGTTAAAGGACTCAAATGAATATTATTACAATATTTGGAAAAAATACTACTTAAGTGGTGTGTGTGAATACACATGCTTTGCATTTTAGTACAAACACTGGGTGAACCGTCTGGATTGTTGTTGACTTCAAAAGAGCAGCAGTATTTATAGATAGAGAGATAGCATCTATGGAAGCATAAACATGGCATACGGCAACCTTGCCAAGTATAGTACAACTATGATTGGTGCTTATCTAAATAACTTACAAAGATGCTATTTGTTCGTTTCTACAGAGACAGACGGGAGATATCATATATACAGTGTTTTCTTCCTCCTCTATTGTACAATACATTGTTCGGATCAGCCTCAAGCAACTTCCCAAAACACTGCATTCTTCATCAGGTGCATGGAGGAGAACCCCCACACATTGAATTTTCTATAATTTTTCACCATCATCCTCTTCGAGCTCCAGACCTTCAGCAGCAAGAAGCCTGCTAATGACCTTTTTCTTTTCTTCCTCTGCTTTTCTCCGCATTATATCTCTTTTCCGTAAGACAAGTGTATGCCGCTTCAAAGTATTATTAAAGTTCTCCAAGGATGCCTTTTTCTCTTTAGCGATAATTCTCCTTTCTTCATCAGGATCCATCTGAAAGTCCATTTAAATAAAATTTTAGATAATCGGAAAGGGATCTGGACCATATCTATAGTCCCAAGAGTGGAATGGAGAAAATGACGTAAGATTTGAGCAACAGCAAGCTAATGAACCACTGCTTGATCATATGTATGGTATAATGCAGATTTAAGTGACCTGCTCGTGTATGGCTAATGCTAGTTCACCAAATGACGAATATCCATTACTACAGTGAGAGGAGAGGAGCTGAGAGGAATGAAAACAAATATTGATGAAGTGATCAAGCATACCATGCATAAAATTAGCCTTTTAATGTGGATTTGAACTTTATGGGTGTGGTATGCCACTGAACCCAGTGACCATTTGAGTTACTACATTCAAAGTTTAATACTAATAAATATTTAGTAGATTTCTCAACACATATAGGGTTTGAGCCAAAACTACTGGGTTCAGCTGAAACTATAACTTATAGTGTACATCCGCCCCTAATAGTGCAAGGCAAGTGGGTTAGTTGAGTATACTAGCTGATAGATCCCCCTCTTAGCTATAATCCACCTCTGTGGTAACGATAGAAAGACACTGAGCTGTGGAAAAATCAATCGGCCGAGTACATGCGGACAAATTTGATGCAAATGTTCCAGGGCAGTTAAAGCATACATTAAATGCAGATAGTGGTTCACAGCAAGAAAGTGGATCGCCAAACGTCCAAACCAGCTAAACTTCCATCCAATAAAATAACATGCTTCCTCTGCATGCTAAAAGTCGTGTTTAATGAAGATAATGCTATTTCAATCTCTTCAGACCATCAAAAAATATGTTAGTAGTATATTTCCACGTGGGATTTTCAGAACCACATTATGTTCTACCGAGAGGTTAAAGGTATTTAAAGCACATCTTAGTACGTGCATATGTTGAAGTGACATCATCAGTGCATTACCAACATAAAAATGCATAAGTTAACAAGGATAACACAGTCAAAGGCACTTATAGACGACTCTAAGTGCGCTCAGAAATGCAAAGAATGTACCAATAGCAGCTCGATACCTTTGAACGAGCGAGACGGCGGACCTTCAAATTTAATTCTAACTGCTGTTGTTCAGCCCATGCAGCAATGGCCATATCACCCCGCTGGTCAAATGCTTTTCGCTTTTTCATAAGCCACTCCACCCATGCTTCAGATGCCTGATGAATAATGGAAGTGCATCATGTCAGTTTGAGACAATGAAGATACTGCAGGCCCAGAAGCTAGAGACAAATAGAACCACATTCTGGAAACTTCCATTGGCAGCAAAAAATATAAACAAATCCAGCACCATCTGATTCCAATTACCCCGAAGGAGACGGATTGAATCATAAATAGTTCAATTACAGTCCCCCNTTTGCATTTGCTTTTTGCAAAAACAAAGATTTTTATTAACGCAAGGGTAACCCCAGAACACAAACAATATACAGAAGATCATTATACACATGTTATAATCCAAAGTCTATGTGCTCTACAGAAACACCCAAAGAACACAAAGCACAATGCTTCTCCCTCTGATAATCTTGTCCAATTTTGGCCTATCCTAATGAATTCCACTTCTGCAGCGCATTTTACTTGTCCAGTCGTATCCCTACCCAACGAAGTATGTGGTTTCATTTGCATTTACTTGAATTCATTTATAATAGCTAATGTTGCATTCCAGACACCCCAACTCTCACAAAGAGTGAACGGCAGGGGTGTCTGTCTGTCTATGCGAATGTAGATGCCATATATTTCATGACTGAAAAAATCTATTCTAAAGGAGCTGGATTTGAAAAATTAGGCAACAATTCACTGACAGGGGTCAATAATAAAAGGTCTTAATTTGGTGCAAGATCAGAAAACATCCGTAATAAGCAAAAGGAATATGTGTTTAAGAAGTTCTTAATTTCTCATTTTTATATACATTTCCCCTTCCGGGCTAAAATTTGGTAGTTTGCACCTTAAAAACAATCACTCAGATGTTTCAAGAAGGAAGCAAGATGGAATATATTAAAAGGAGTATACTATAATTATGTTCTTTCAGCTAGCAAAATTCGCTTTCACGCATCAACAAGAGGCTATATGTCTAACATAACAGAGTCTTTAAATTCTAGCCCATTTCAGATTGATAACTGACACTATCTGGGTAATAACCAATCTTCTCTTTGTTTATTGATGAAAAGATAATAAATTAACAACTATCAAAATATTATTATAAATTTTCACCTTCATGGGGTTCACTCGATTGTCACTATCATATTTTCTCCGTTCATCTTCATCTATAAGCAGCTCATAAGCAGCTTGAATCTTAATGAATCGAGCTTCAGCAGTTTCTCCTTCCTCAAGAGTCCCTCTGCCATTATAAACTTAAGAGGAGAAACAGAAGTTAGTTTCATATAGAAGAGAACAGCCTGTAGAAGAGCTCTAGGAAATCAATACTCCGAAGTAACAAGAAATTACCAAGATTGACCCTCAAGAGACGACAACATTGTTTTCTTTTTGTGTATTTTTTTTACACAGAACAAGGAGATCACCACACAATCTCAATTCAGAAGGAAAGTGAAATATATAACCATCATAATTTATCCCTCCATTAAGGCTTAAGAGTTAAATTCCCAAATTGCCAACCACTTGAAGTTTGTGGTCCTATAGGCTATAACATTCAACAATTTTTACTAGATTATTGTTTTTCTTAAGTTTTGAATTTCAACAGCCTAACGGAGCAAGAGGACTCAGCTTACTGAAGTTTTGTTCATTTGAGATTTCATGATAGAGATAATGGACGTTCACACAACTGGAGCATTCTGACCAAACTAGTTGAGCTAGGAATAGGAATTTGTATGATTATTAAATGTTTCCTATGAGAAACTGCCATTAGTTCTATGCCTACTAAAATCTTATCTACGATATGTCCATTTTCCACTAGTGAGAAACTGCAATGGAACACTTCAATAAATCAAATATTGATGGAAACAATCTCGTGGCATGCAGAAAAAGTATTTCCTAACACTAATTCATGAATTAGCTTCGCTGACAGGCCTGCTCAAATACGGCTTTTATGCTACAGGAATAGGTCATCAACTAGTACAAAAACACATCATATAAATCAGTTCCAAAGCTAAATAGAGATTCTATCTAAGGCCTAATACAGAAAAACAGTAAAGTGGAAAGGCATCTTACCAGTGAAGACAACTCAAATCATAACAAAAGCTGGAGAGGGGATTTCTTTTGGTGGGTGTGGGACACAGTTCCCTTTTTTTTGGGGGGGGGGTGGAGTGGGAGTTGGTAGGAAGAGTGGAAGTGTCGTATTACATCCAAGCTCTACTAATTGAAGATGAGCATACAACTTAAATATAATGTTATAAAAAAGCTTGCTAGATAAAGTGTCCAATATCTAGATGTAGAACCAACTTGACACATTTACACACACATATACAAGCATATGTATTTAAAGAGTCTTTTTCTTCCTATACAAGCTCGTGAATACTAGGAGAGTGTTCTTTCTTTCTACTCAATGGCATGAATTGGATATCAAAGAGTAGTGTACCAAACAAATTCATTTATATACATGAATATGAGTTTAGCTACAGTCTAAACTACCATCAGGTCAAATACAAGTGAGTATAGCTACAGACTAAACTAGCATCAGGTCAAATACAAGTGAGTATAGCTACAGACTAAACTAGCATCAGGTCAAATACAAGTGAGCATAGCTAAAGTCTAAAGTAGCATCAGGTCAAATACAAGTGTGCAATATACTGATGCTGATACCAGAAAAAAGTAAAGAAAGGAAAAACGTATGTATGACTGCACTAAAATGACAACTATAAGATTAAGCACAAACCATCTGGATGGTAAAACTTCGCCAAACGTCTATATGCCACCTTTATTTGTTCGTCATCTGCATCCCTTTCGAGTTCTGTAAACAGAAACATTGCATCAACGTTTGCAAATAAGGAAAAAACATTGAAATGCACAAAGTGAGATGGAAAGGGACTGCACTGTGGCTTATAGTCTGCTAAAAGGAAGGGGCTTAAAAGGTAGCTTCAGAGTGTGTCTTATTACTAAAACCAGTATAGCATGTCGGTAGTGTAGGCACTTCATAGAAACTTGATAAGCTGGAACTAGGCTGTTCGTATAGGCATATCACACCTTTTACACATATATCTCAAGATGAAGATGTGCTTTATGAAGCCGGATTGGATAAACACCAAAAGCAGGAAAAAGATATAGGAAAGGCATGGAACGAAAAGATAAAAGTTGCACACTCATACGCGTAGAACACATGAAACTATGAAAATGCACCGTGTTAGTTAAGAACCATTTTCTACAGAAATTTACAGTTTCTTACAAAGATGTGTACTCTGCTATTCGCTTTTCCAGCTTCCTGGTTATTCTATTATGTTCACTTGAGCTAGTAGAACTAACAATTTATTTGTAACGCAGATTTGCAACTCCTAGATCTCTATACTTCACTAAAGTTCAGGTATTTAACACAACATAACTGTTTCTAATCAAGACCAATTCAAATACATAATTCATCAGAAAGCATTAATACCTTCTACCTTTTATTTCATAATCCAACATATCCTTATAGCGCTTTAATTCTTTCTCTGCTTTTTCTATAAGATATTTTCTCATCGTAGTCGCCATCAAATCGAGCTCAACTTTTATAGATTGACAATCTGAATAATATTTTTGAACTGGATTTTTTTTTTTTTGAAATGGACAATCTGAATAATATTTACATAAGCAGCTTACTTGGAAACTAATTACAAGTAAGCATCTATTCTAAACATGGATTGGTAACCTGGAATATATGGTAAAAGGCTTTCTATAACCAATTAACCTACACTTACTATGCAATTTTTTTTTAACACTATCACTTGTATATAAGTTAAATCCAAGCAAACTAAGAGTATAAGTTTTATACACAACTAATGTAAAAATACTTCACCCCTGCTAGGTCATTTAAAAGCCAACTACAGGTTTGTCTACAATAAGCATGGGCGGAGCTAGGGAGGTGGAAGGGGATTCAACCCTTCGCCAGAAAATTACACTGTTTATAAGAGGTTAAAATTATTTTATGTATATATAGTAAATGTTGAATCTCCTAGGCTTTTTCGTGTGTTGCTCCGCCACTGATAGTAAGCGTTAGATCAGTAACCTAAAGTACAAGCAAGTACAGGTAATTGTCTATAGTAAGTGTTATATCAGTAACCTAGAAAATACACAGGTATGTAACTGTCTATAATAAGTTAGCGGTCATTAACCTAGAAAGTATGGTAAGTATACGGATTAAACGACACTAATACTGTAAAAATACCTCACACCTTTAAATCCAAATAATAAAATTTGAACAAAATCCTGGAAACAGAAAACAAATACAAAAATTTATATACCGAGAGTTTCATAGGGAGACTTGGAGTCGTTCCAATTGTAAGCAGAGGTAGTCACAGTTTTCCTCTGCTGATTCAATCGATAATCCCATGTTTCAATTCTTCTCGAAGTACTGTACAATGACGATTGCAGCACCGAAGGTTTCATCCATTGAGGAGCTGAATTAGGGCTTCGGGTTGAAACCCTAACCGCTGATTTACCCAGTAAGTCTCTGCAACAACAGGTTATTGAAAAATACACAGCTTGTGGTCTACATATTGATCTCAAATTGCTCATAACTTTGGATTTTTCAGCTAAAATCCGTTTGTCTTCAAGAGTTCTTTCGAAATTTATTCCTTCAATGGAGTAGAGAAATGAATCTCTATTTACCAAAAAAGAAATGAATCTTTTGTGAATCTAATTTAATTTATTTATTTATTTATTTTTCTTCCTGTTTTTTGCCATCAGATTTGTGGACGGTTTATTTCGTTACATTGGAGGGAAAATTAGCTAATGACTGTTGTACCCTCCAGCTTTACATATATTCCTGTGTTTTCCTTTTTCTTATTTTTTGTTTGGAGTTTAATTTCTTTGTACTCATGAGTACGGGTGGCTAATGTGGGTCGGGTATCGATGGGTAAAACCGGATAACGCAAGAAATGGATAAAATATCCAACTCGGTCTATATTTAATACTGATAGAAAATAGGTTAACCGACAGATAATATGAATATTCATAATATCCATGATTTTAAAAAAAAAATGACTTTTGGGAAAACTCATAGTTTTCTCAAACTTGAGAAATTTGTTTACCCATAAAAAAAATACAATAATTAAATTTGTATACATAATTTATAGACACGTGATAAAGATGACCTGACTAGTAAACTACAAATAACAAAGATAATAAGATAAAGATACTCTAAGAAGAACAAGCATGTATTTTAGTTAAATGCCACCGGAATCGAGCTAACCAGAAAACTTCAGCAAAGCCTTTTTGTATTGAACTATGTAGTAAAAATGGCGTGGGATAACCACTATTTAAGGTGATATATATTTTTTATCCAACAATTCTAATGTTGAGCAAAAAAACACTACTACTCTATTGAAATTAAAATAAAAATATTTTTACCCTTTCTTCCATTTCTTTTCTTCCCAAGCCCTCGCTTCCACTACTCTACTGATTTTGCTTAAGTGGTCAATCAGACATATGAACTCCGGCTATGTGAGTTTCTAAGAGCATAGCCAGTCTAAGCCAGATAAAGGTATAGTTATGTGGCCTAAGTGTGATGAATCCTTGGGGAATACCAAGTAGAATGAATTAAAAGGATCTTTGGGATTGTGGCATAGTTGATTAATGGCTGAATAATCAAATGGAGTTGAAGACTTCTGCAACAATACTAATTTGCGTTTGGGTGACTAATAAATATTATGAACATACCATTACAGTCTAATGATAAACATTAAAACTAGTGCAAAATATTTTTCCCTATGGAATTTCATTAAAACATGCATTCTCATATTTTCGCTTCCTCAAATTCAGATTGCGGAGTTAGATGTGTCAAGGACAATTGGTCCTTAACTTAGAGTTGGAAGTGTTACTAAACTGTATTTGTAAACTAATTCTGGAAAAGATAAAACAACATAAACAGAAATATAAACGAATAAAAAATTAATCCGAGTCCACTGAATTCACAGTGTTTCCTTAAGGAATTTAATCCCCTCATAGTACCCAAGGTTATGGATTATTTCCTCCCAGGATAGAACGAATTACACACTGGTGTAGTGATACTTCAAACCCCAGTGTTTCAGCGAACACAAAGTTCGGTAGCAAATTACACTTACTGTTGCTTTGTTTGATGTTAAAAGTATACAGAAGGAGGACGAGAAACTCAGAAAATCGTATGGAAAATCTGAGAGAATGGACTTGTATTTATAGCCAATGTTGGGCTGAAATCTGAAGAGGTGCAACTCTTCAAAATGGCTATTTATGCAAAACGGCCATAGTATAAATGCCATAACATAAATGACTATTTACTCAACAATAAAGAGGGAAAATTGAAGAGGGTAGTTAATTTTCTGTTACCAAAACAGAAAACGGAAAAGTGGAAACATATTTAATATTAATATTCTTGGATTTAATATTAATATTTTGTTATTAAAACAGATATTTAATAACATTTCTGTTAATATTTACTATTAACAAAAAAATTTGGTCCAAAAAACTAATCAATCAATCGTTTGACCAAATCCGAATCCGAATCCGAAGCCGAAGCCGAGCCGAGCGAGCGAGCGATGACGACGATGCGAGGCTTGCCTTCTTCTCAACTCTTTAAGAGCTAGAAGAAGAGCAATTGCTTATATACCCATTAAAAACTTCTTCCTCTTCCAATATGGGACAATGTTCCTTCATCAAGGGGGGTCGAGGGGGGGGGGAACTTAAAATTTTACTTAAATTTTTTATTTTCCTTCATTTCCCATTCACCCTCTTTTAAGCATTTAGTATACTTAAAACCCCAACAATCCCCCATATGAATGGGGAATGGCTATATCACGGAAATATGCATGAAAGCTGTGTGATTCGCAAGCAAGGATTAATTGCATCTGGATAAGTAGGTTTCCCTTTGAACTTTCCGTAGTGAACTTATGTCGGATATACTTGGTCAATCGGTAGATTTGATATCTTTGAACTGTCGAACTTTGGTGTATACCTAGACAACCATAAGTCACACAACCAACCCTTAACCGTCTTTGGTTCTCATTGTTGTGTTCACTTCAGCCATGAACACCGCCTGGTTTCGTAAGTGCATAGAGAACTGGCCTTGCAAAATTCTCCTTGAAGCGGCTAACACTTCACACTTACATAGGTGATTCCTGAACGTATCACCCCATAGATACACTATTTGATATACCCCGTATCAAATTTATAAATTATTAAAAAGCCTTAATACTTTATCCTTTGTACTGAATATTGTCTCATCACGAGAATGGATCAAAATTTTAGTTGACAATGTTGAACCATCATTAATGACTTTGTTTGATCTCCTTGAACCTAGATCTTAGGATCTCCAGTCTTCTAGGTAGAGTTACTGCCACAATGACTTGTTCTCGGCCATAGTCCTATTCCCATTGATGATTTCTCAATTACCTCTCTAGTTAGGCCTTTTGTAAGCGGATACGACACATTATCACTTGACTTTATATAGTCAATCGTGATAATTCCTCTAGAGAGTAATTGCCTAATGGTTTTATGTCTTCGCCGTATATGACGAGATTTACTATTATGCATAACGCTCCCAACGCTTCCAATTGCCGCTTGACTATCACAATGTATGCATATTGGTACCAATGATTTGGGCCAAAATGGAATGTCTTCCAAGAAATTTCGGAGCCATTCAGCTTCTTCACCGGTTTTATCTAAAGCTATGAACTCAACCTCCATTGTAGAGCGGGCAATACAAGTTTGTTTGGACGACTTCCAAGATACCGCTCCTCCACCAATAGTGAATACATATCCACTTGTAGACTTCGAATCAGCTGAACCAGTGATCCAATTTGCATCACCGTATTCCTCAATCACCATAGGATGCAAAACAAAGCCCTGAGTATGTTCTAAATATCCCAAAACTTGTTTCATTTCCATCCAATGAGATTAACCTGAATTTCTCGTGTATCGACTCAATTTACTTATAGCATAAGCTATATCTGGTCGTGTACAATTCATGATGTACATTAAGCATGCCAACACACGAGCATAATCCAATTCTGATATGCTTTGGCTTTTGTGCTTTGCTAATGCAAGATTCACGTCAATTGGAATCTTTGCAACTTTAAACCCTAAGTGCTTGAATTTTCAAGTATTGTCTTAATATAATGAGATTGTGACAATTCCAGACCTTGAGGAGTCTTATAGATCGTAATCCCCAGAATTAAATCAGCAACTCTCACGTCTTTCATATCAAACTTGCTAGTTAGCATACGCTTAGTAGCATTTATGTTGGCAATATCATTACTCATTATCAGCATATCGTCCACATATAAGCAAACAATGACTATGTGATTTGGAACATTTTTAATATACACACATTTATCACATTCATTTATCATAAAACCATTTGACAACATTGTTTGGTCAAATTTCGTATGCCATTGTTTGGGTATTTGTTTTAGTCCGTAAAGGGACTTAACAAGTCTACAGACCTTCTTTTCTTTACCTAGAACCACAAACCCTTCAAGTTGTTCCATGTAGATTTCTTCCTCCAAATCTCCATTCAAGAAGGCCGTCTTAACGTCCATTTGATGAATTTCAAGACCATACACCGCAGCTAATGCTACTAACATCCGTATGGACGTAATCCTTGTAACTAGAGAGTATGTATCAAAGTAGTCAAGACCTTCTCGTTGTCTATACCCTCTGACTATAAGTCTTACCTTAAATTTATTAATAGTGCCATCATCTTTCATTTTTCTCTTAAAAATCCATTTAGAACCCAAAGGTTTATTTCCATGAGGAAGATCAACCAATTCCCATGTATGGTTGTTCAATATGGATTCTATTTCACTATTGACTGCCTCTTTCCAAAACAATGATTCC